TATCAAAGTATCGGAAGCAGCCATGTTAGACAGCTTAGCTCGATGGTACAAACACAAGGAAAGGCAACGAGAAAATGCTTTCAAACAGCTGTTTAACAAAATATCCTTGACTGCARTCAGCGAGGATTTGTTATGGGCATTGATCAAGAAGTACAAGTTAGTGAAAGTTATTCCTAATTTAAGCAAGTATAAACCCAAGAAGATGAAAAAGAAGCTGTTTCCTCAATCTCTGAACATTGATGACTTAATTCATGAGGAGAACATTGCAAGTCGGACATGCAAATGCTGGCAGTTTAATTGGGAAACTTCATTATAATCATTAATTATAAAACTTGTCTAAAGTGCGCATCAGGGTAGTTCCCGTTCAAAATGAAATCTCGAACACATGGTACATGATGTGACAATCGATTGGAGATCTTTAGGGAACTCTGGAAAAACTGAACAAGAAATCGAAATTAAGGTCATTTGCTCAGTTTTGAAGTGACAGATAAAAAAACAAAAACAAAACAACAACAACAACAACAAACAAACAGAACAAAACTTTCGAAATGTAGGTTGAGCAAACGAGTATTAAAGAAATAACTCTTTAATTAAAATAGAATTTATTAATGTCGTATATTACAAGCTGATAATTCATTTTGTCCGATTCYATCCAATAGAAATCGTTTTGTAAGTATATTGTTATAGTGTGGTACTCAGTTCACACAACGGACCATTTATAGCAGCCARCCTTCCATCACCACTTTGACGCCATGCATCAGAAATTCTCGACACTTCCTCGTGATTTAATKCACAAAAAGATAGATCTAACCCAARGAGAGGAATAGCCGAGTGCTTTAATGCGTGGAAAATGTTTTCTGRTAACGGAGAAGAGACTCCACAAGAAGAAAGGTTGAACGAGAGCGGTGAAGAACGSGAGGTCGCGAGATTCGTCAAKAGTTCCYCAAGAAATGTTCCACCAATCCCTCGGTTGCCACGAAGATTGAAAGAGATCTGGGAACGACAGTTGCTAAGAGACCTAAAGAAA